ATTAATAGGCACAGTATTATTGACTTACAGTTGAAAAGTGCAAAGTTTGCTCAATAAGGTACTTGAGGCAGTGTCAAAATTATTATTTTTAAAACTATAACTTATAAGTATATGCCTTCTTAATAATGTGTGAGACATAGGGTATTATGCATAAAGTAAACTCCTGCTGCCTGCTGAGCTGTGATGATTGTCTCAAGGAGAAGTACTTAGAGGAGTATTTACATGATTATTTAGCATGTGAGCCTAGCTAGCTTCTTGAAATAAAAACTAACATTCAAACTATGGTTATGCAACTCGAGGTATTAGGTACATAGTTTCTCAAAAATAAAATGGGCCTGTCATGTCAAAGAAAGTAACTAATAGTATTTGTTGTCAATATTAAAATCTGAGTGTTTAAACAAATATTAGCATTTTGAAAAAATCTTATCTACTATTGTGAGTTTGACAGCTCTACAATAGTTAAAAACTTTTCTGATGAGATTGAAAAGCAAATTCACAGATCAGTTTTTTTTATAATTTATACTGATGTATCTAGACATTTGAGGCAGCTGAATAACCCAAAAACAGTATTTTGTAAGTGATAGTACAAAATCATGCATGGGTAAAAGAACCATTCAAAATGTAAAATAGGCCTGGCCTGTGTGGCTCAGGGGTTGAGTGGCGACTTAAATTTGTATGCCATAAGCATCTATTATAGATGCAAGTGGCAGATCTTTTAAAATTAAATTCCAAATATTGTTGTAGTTAACTGCTATGAACCAGGAGGTCATTGTCTGATTCAGGTCAGGACATGCCCCTGTTGTGTGCTTGATCCCCACATGGGGGGTGTGCAGGAAGCAGCTGATCAATGATTCTCTCTCATCATTGATATTTGTCTCTCTCTCTCTCCCTCTCCGTTCCCTCTCTTTCTCCCTCTATTTCTCCCTCTCTCTCTCCCTCTCCCTCTCCCTCTCCCTCTCACTCTCATTTCCTCTCTGAAGCAAATAAAAATATATTTTAAAAAATGTAAAATATATTTTTAAAAATGTAAAATATATTTTTAAAATGTAAAATGGGTTTGAATTTAAGAGTGTAAAGGCTCCTTGATCAAGGTTTCACATTCCATATTACAACTAACCTTTAACAATCTATTATTACCAATTTTTGGTGTAATATCAAAGAAGAGTATTCCCAATTCTCTGAAAAGCTTTCTAATAATCCTCCTATCATGTCCAAATACATGTGTGTGAGGTCATTTCTTCAATTACTACAGTGAGCAATTATTGGACAGATTGAATGCAGAAGCACATAAGAGAATCCAGGTGTCTTCATTAAAAATATGTGCAAAATATGTAAAACATTATACTCTTCTATCATTTGTATGTTTGTTAACTATAATTATTTTTATAAAAGTACACTATTCTATGGTATTTATGTTACTATGTAATGAGTTTATCTTTTTATTTTATAAGAATTATATGATAAATATACTTAAACTGTTCAGTTTTTTTAAATATAATAAACATTGATAAAAATGCTATATTCTGTATATTTTTAAAAAGCTCTTAGCAATCAATAATAATTTTAAAAAATATATCTTTATTGATTTCAGAGAGGAAGGAAGAGGGAAAGAGAGATAGAAACATCAATGATGAGAAAGAATCATTGATTGGCTGCCTTCCGCACGTCCCCTACTAGGAATCAAGCCCACAACCTAGGCATGTGCCCTTGACCAGAATTGAACATGGGGCCCTTGTTCTATCCACTCCCTCTCCCTCTATCCTATTAGGCTGATGCTCTATCCACTGAGCCAAACCAACTAGGGTAATAATAATTTTTAAGAATATAAAAGCCAGCCAAGACCGGTTTGGCTCAATGGATAGAGCGTCGGCTTGGGGACTGAAAGGTCCCGGGTTCGATTCTGGTCAAGGGCATGTACATGGGTTGCGGGCACATCCCCGGTGGGGGATGTGCAAGAGGCAGCTGGTCGATGTTTTTCTCTCATTGATGTTCCTAACTCTGTATCCCTCTCTCTTCCTCTCTGTAAAAAATCAATAAAATATATATTAAAAAAAAAGAGTATAAAAGCCAAAATATTTCAGAATCACTGTATAGAATAAATCTAATGGGAATCTCAAAGTAAAAATGTGTGTGAAGAAATAATCACACAATAGAATTACAAAATACTTTATACAGTAAAAGTTGGAGCATCTGCTATTCCAGGGAAACGGCAGTGAATGGACTACATAGTCCATATCCACAAGGCGCACACACTATACCGTGAAGGGAGTCATAAAAGAACCATATAAACAAATAAATAAATATATTCAAACAGTGCTATGTCTCATCAAGAATATAAAACCAATTATGCAAGAATATAAAACCAATTATGGAAATACAGTAATTTTATTTTGGTTGGTCCAGGAATGCCTCCATGAGGAGGCGACAGTCCAGTTTAGGTCTGGCCAGCCTTCTGAAGGAGGGGGATGGGTAGAGAGGAGGTTGCTAGGGACTAGAGGAGGCAACTCTCTGGAGATGGGATGTAATAAAAAAATAAAAATAAAAAAAAGCCAGTGTCATTGAGCTCTTAACAAGGAGAAAGCCCAGTTTTGTCTTCTTCACAACCACCTAAACAAAGGTTATTATTCTGATATCATAGATGAGAAGACTGAGAAATGGGGAACTTTTAAACCTTGCTCCGCTGTCATACAGACAGGAATTTGCATAACTTGGCTTTGAAAACTATATTCTAAAAGAATTCTGTATAATATATCTTTTAGGAGAGGGGGTCCTAAGTGAAATAAAGTGTTGGTAGGGGTTAGTGAAAGGAACAGGGCAAATATTCAGAGAAATTTAATGGTCACCACTTGTCCTAACTCTACTTATAAGCAAAATACCTCTTATATGTCTATAGCTCTGTTGGATGTTGTAGGGATGGATAATATCACCAGAAGCTTTAATCCTAGAGTGGTTAAAGAACCAATATTATAAAATAAAGGTCAAATGAATGCCATTTTAAATAAAATAGGACTACATAGAAGAGAGGCCAAGAAAAGACTACATTTACAATTGGCTTGAAGATAGCTGAGATTACACAGTGAATTTTTGTTTTTGTTTTATACTTATTCCTATAAACAAAAGTTAAATGTGTTCTGCTTTTACAAAAATAGGAACATGCATGTTTATCATATTGTTAAATTAGCAGATGAATATATAAATTACCAAAGAATTGCATCCTTTTCAATGGATATACTACCTAGTGATTGCTCATAATTAACTTAGTAATAGTTAAGAGATCACATAGTGTTTAACGGAGAAGGTATGGAACAAAGAATCTAAAGCATAAATAATTGTTACAAAATACTTCTAACTGTAAATCATAAAATAATGGACATTTTTAAAAAAAATTAGGAATAAGTAGTAAAATAGAAGGACTTATGGGTGTTTGATTTATATTAAAATTGCTGGGACCCATCTAATGTATATAATGTAAGACATTAAGTTTTCATTTGATTAAAAACAAAACATACGAACAAATAAGCAAAATAAAAGCACTCTGTCTACTACTGTGTAATAGTTGCCATAAATATATTGTAAATGCATTGGTCTAGGGCAGGTGGTGAGATAGAAGGAGTCAATGGGGAACAAAGGGGACCTATATAATACTTTTAACAATAAAGATTAAAAAAAAAAGTTAAAAAATAAAAGTGAATTATTTTACCTTCTGAAATATTTCTTTAATTCTTAAATATAAACAATACCCCCTCACACACAAAATGAAGGAGCAAGTTTGATTTTACTCAAATATGTGAAGTTCTCATAGCCTTCTGTTTTTTTTCCTTAGCACTTTTCATATTCATATATACATTTAAACATTCATCAATGGCTCCTCTATTCTATATAATAAAAGAATAATATGCAAATTGATAGAATGGCCAAACGACCAGTTGCTATGATGCACACTGACCATCAGGGGGCAGACACTCAATGCAGGAGCTGCCCCCTGGTGGTTAGTGTGCTCCCACAGGGAGAGCACTGCTCAGCCAGAAGCTGGGCTGAAGGTTGGTGAGCACAGTGGCGGTGGCAGAAGCCTCTCCCACTTCCGCATCAGCGCTAAGGATGTTAGACTGTGGGGAGCAGGTCTAAGCCATCAATCGGACATCCCCCAAGGGCTCCCAGACTGCTAAAGGGTGCAGGCCTGGCTGAGGGATTTCCCCCCCACCCCTTCCAGTGCACGATGTCATGTATTGGGCCTCTAGTTACATTATAAATTTCTTAACAACTGGCACTGTTTGACTGTTTATTCACATTGGACCAGAGTGCACAGAAAGATTTCAGTACTTCTAAAAATTTTGGTAGAATAAATGAATGTTTTCAGGCTTTTAGGCTATCCTGTGACCAAATACTATGCCCCACCCTACCATCCTAACTAACTTGTGAGAACATATTCCAATGTACTATAAAGCTCCAAAAATGATCCTTTTTTCTTAACTGTAAGGGAGGGATTTTTTTTTTAACAATTTATACTAATGTTTTAATGCCTAACACTGAATCAACTGTACTAGATCTTCTTTCTAACATAGGTAGAGATTTCTATAACCAGAGAAAATTATCTGAAAAGAAAGTGTCACTAAGATGGACATTCAAGCACAGAGACAACTTTTTGAGAGAGATAGAGTAGCAGAAAGAAACACTTTAGCATTCTGAGCAATATACTGTTTAAACGACTATCAGTGTGCTTGTACTTAAATACTGTGAGAGATGATGTTTTCTAATCTGACTCACTGATCTTTTTTTGGTAGATATGATGTTTCTTATCCAGCACAAAGAAGAAATCCATTATAAATAAATGTTCCAACTTAATTGGGATAGAGCTTACAAATTCTATAGTCTGCAAGAAAGTAAATTAGAATGTGCATGTGTAAAGAAAAACCAAAGGATTGGATGCTTTCAAATGGAAATCTTATCTTTTGATGTGGTTATTTGAACAATTATTTAAAAATTCATTAGTGGTATTTTACCTGCAGTTATCAATGTGAATTTTTTCCCCCCACTGCCTTGAACGGGATGAAAGATCCCTAATTATTGATTTTTACAGTTTCTATGCATCTAGTAAAATTCTCAAATGATCCAGAAACCCAGAAGAGAGAGTGAAGGGGGACTTATATTATTTTCTTCATGTTGCAAACTGGTTAGAGTGTACAATCATATTTTAGAACTGATTTCATTTATTCAAAATATTGGTAGAAAGTAATTAAAAAACTCATTTCAAAAATTATCCCAAAAATTAATAGGAAAAAATACCATCTTATCCAAAAGTTATGTGGAATCTATAATCTTATTATACAAAGTTCACTGTAATTTGTATATGAATAAGGAAAATGCATTCATTAATATAGTTGATTACCAGTGAAAAATAGGAGTAAAGCAGATATACTTTTACAACTTTTGCCTTTGTTCCTTGCACTTTTCCTTTCAGACATTAGTACCTTGTTCCATCCACAGCTATAGACGCATCAAGAAAAATTGCTCCTTCTGGGTCAAAGAAAACAGAGAAAACTACAAATACTCATGACATCCTATAGCCCTGATGCAGCCTATCTTTTGTATTCAGTTGCATGGCCTGTTCTCTTTAAGAATAATCTGGACAAAACATGTATCCAGAAAGATTGTCAAAGGGCCAAGAGCAAAAAAGAGAGCATAAGGAATTGGAAAGCATTTGTTTTAAGGAACAAATATAACCTCTTAAAGATAAACATAAATATGACTTTTTGTTCTATTCACCATGAATATATTATACTATATTCATGGTGAATAGAACTACACCAGTAATTTTATGTTTCTATAAGTTTAAATTTATGTGAAAAAGGACATTAGAAAAACTAGAAAGAGGCACATCCCAGAATTCAATAGTTAGGAGTATTTCTTTCAAGTTGTTTTTTTGTTTATTATGCTCTCAATATTATTAAAAAATTCATGCTAAGATAGACTGACTTATGACCAAGACAATCATCGGGCTTATATATTGAAAAATATATTGATTTCTGAATTGAAAATATTTACCATTTGCATTCTCAAGATTTGGTTTCTTATTGCATACAATATTGTAAATAAATAAATGATATAATAAGACCTTAACCTTGTTTATAAATTTTAGGGTGCATATATTTTATTCCATCTTTTTACTTACAAGTCTTAGTTTAAAAACATTTAAACCTTTCCTCCTTTTCCCCTACGTAGGCAAAAATGTACTCTAAACCCTTTCAACAAGTAACACTCTGTCAACTGTCAAATATGACTGAACTAGAAAATAAAACAATATTTCACATAGTAAGTTTACCAAGAAGTCATTCAATTCCAAGGAAAAATAAAAACATTTGGCTCTTAGTTGCTGCAGAGGGGAAGTATCGATTTGTAATTGTTAGCTTAAAAGTTTTTATGAGCTTCATTAATCATACGGTTTATCACATTTATTTTATCACAGAAGGGGGTTGAGGTTTGGGTAAAAAGTTTAAAGGATTAATCAAAGAAAAACACAACAACAACAACCTTAGAAACAGACAACAGTATGGTGATTATCAGAGGGAAAAGAGGGTGAGGGGAAGTAGAAGAGGGTATTAGGAGGATAAATAGTGATGGAGGGAGACTTGACTTGGGATGGTGAAGACACAATACAATATACAAATGATCTACGATAGAATTGTACACCTGATACCTATATAATTTTATTAACCAATGCCACTCCAATAAATTTAATAAAAAAATACACCTAAATTTTAAATTTTAAAGTAAAGTTTACATCTACCTCTCCTGAAACCTCACAAACATGTTAATTAGTATAGCTTAAAATTTTTAAATCAAACAAAAAATAAAAATGGTTTAGAAAAATAGTTTTGATTACAATGATTGTGAATGTTAGAACTTGTATGTGAATATTTGATCAAATCTTCAATTTGGAATATGAGGCAGCAAAAAACACCCAATCAGAAGACAAAAAAAGGAAAAGAATCTGAAAAATATGAAGATATTGTAAGGAGTCTCTGGCACAACTTCAAGTGTACCAACATTTGCATCATGGGGGTGCCAGAAGAAGAAGAGAGAGCAAGTTATTGAAAACATTTTGAGGAAATAATGGCAGAAAACTTTTCTTACTAGGTGAAAAAAATAGACTTACAAGTCTAGGAGGCACAGAGTCCCACAGAAGATGAACCCAAAGAGGTCTACAATAAGACACATCATAGTTAAAATGCCGAAGTTTAAAGGCAAAGAGAGAAACTTAAAAGCAGCAAGAGAAAAAAAAATGATGATAAATTATCTAATCCTACAATTTAACAAATTAGAAAGAGAGTAACAAGAAAATCCCAGAGTGAGCAGAGGAAAAAATAATAAATATCAGAGGGGAAATAAATGACAGAGAGACCAAAAGAACATTACAAATGATCAATGGAACCAAGAGCTGTTCTTTGAAAGGATAAATAAAACTGATGAACCTCTAGCCAGGCTCGCCTAGATGCAAAGAAAGAGGACCCATATAAACAAAATCAGAGATGAAATAACAGAACCCATAGAAATACAAAGAATAACAAAACAAAACAAAAAAAAATACTATGAGCAAATCCATTTCAACAAACTGGGCAACCTAGAAGAAATGGACATATTCCTAGAAGAATACAACCTCCCAAAACTCAATAAGAAATAATAATAAAAAAAAATCTGAGTAGGCTGATGACTATGGAGGAAATTGAAACAGTAATCAAAAACTTCCAACACACAAAAGCCCTGGACCAGATGGCTTCACAAAGGTATTTTACCAAATATTCAAAGAAGAACTAAAATCTATCCTCCTCAGACTATTCCAAAAAAATTCAAGAGGAATGAATACCTCAAAGCTCTTTCTACGAAGCCAATATAACCCTAATCTCAAACCAAATAAAGACAATTCAAAGAAATAGAATTACAGGCCAATATGCCTGTAAGGGCAGCCTTTTTGTGACGGCATTATGGCATGAGGGTCAATTTGCACAATACCTCTTTATTATATAGGATAATATATGTGAATGTGTGATATTATTTTCAACTAGATAGATAGAAGAAATGGGGAAGGAATGTCATTTCTCTGCAATGTATTTTTTTTTTTATTAATGATGTATTTATATCTGAGACAAATACAAGAACTGTCTTGATTAAACTCTTATATGTACTTCCTCTATGGTTAAGCTGTATTGTTTTGAAAAAAAAAATAGATGATTAGAGCCTATCTGATTGAATAACCTACGTGGTTGGACTTTTTCTAAAGGTAACATGTCAATCACTTATAAGCTTGTCAATCAGTTAAAAAATAAACAGAGCAAGTCTAACTTGTTCTGTAAAATTCAGAAATTTTGAGTCTTGCAATAGGTTTTCTTAGGGCCCCAAATTTGGCATTATTTCAAGAGTTAAGATTTAATTAGGCATCAATTATATGAATTCCCGCATAACTTTATAATGAAAATAATATTTATTGAAAGTAATACCTTATAAAATTAAATTATAATCTAAACAATTAGGAAAATGCCAACTGATATAGAATTTTGGTCTACGATATTGTTTAGTATCAGATAAGAGTTAATGATTCTGTAAAATAAATAATTAAAATATGACATTATAAATAAAGCAAATGATTCTTTTTAAATTTGAGATTCTCCTGATTTTAAATAAAATAAGGAAATATTATTTAAAAGTCATTAAATTTTAAAATTCAAAAATTAAGAAACTTTTTAACAAATTTCTGAGTTTGCAACTTTCTGATACTCTGTTTGATAGTTGAAGACTTTCTGAAAATATAGGAAATGCTAACTCCTATATTTTCCTTGAAATAAAAAGATAAAATATGGAGTTTTCTACTACTTACAATACTTACTTGAAGAAGTCAGCAATAAAAATGAATTTTAAGTCAAATATTGCAACTTCTCAGTTTTTTGCTGGTCACAGCTCACTGAATACTACATGCATTTGAAATAAAGGAGATTCTACTATGTTGAAACCAGTGGCCAACTCATCTTCTAGCATCTCTCTGACTTTAGATTCAGAATCAAGCTTTAGAAAAGAATACATTTTGGCAATTTTGCAGAATTGTCTCTTTATGGAGTCCAGTAATAATACTTTTTTTTTGTCCTACAAAATATTCTTTAGGTTATCCTATTACTTCAGATTTTCATTTTTAATGTTGGGATATAAGTTAAACACATTTTAGAAAATAAGTATTTTGTAAAATATTTTAGAATCTGAAAAACAAAACAAAAAACAAAAGCACATGTAAAAACTGTAATAATAATAATAGCATTATGGTGACCTTGTATTTAGTAGAACATTATTGCACCAAATTCAAAATGTTAAGATTCATAAAATAATTCACAAATATTTCCATATATTCCAGAATTTACAGAAATTTCTTGTTACCCACTTTTCTGCTGTTGCACATACTTTTGATAGCTTTTCCCGATACATTTGAAGCATAAAGAAAAAGGTCAGGTAATTTGCTCACTTGTAGGTTGATCTCATCCCCATTTTCTCTGGTATATCACATACTTGGCTATTCTACTGCCCTCTCAAATCTCTCCTTGTCATTCTCTGTAGAGACTGTGGAAATGGAGGAATGGAGAAGGAGGTTTCAATTAAAATCATTCATTTATTCTGGGGGGGAAAGCTTACATTCTAAAAAAAAGCTATGTTTATCTGTATACTAGTGGCCCAGTACATGGATTCATGCACATTGAAAGAAAATTATTTAGAAGAAATATTTTACATTCATTCTTTGCCTTTTGTTTATGATAAAAGTGTCAACCAAATTCATGATTGACAATGACAGATGGAAACACACATGTGCGATTGGCACCAAGAGCTTTATATGTGTTGCACATGCACAAGTCAACTTAGCCTTTTATAGATATACAATAAGTTTGCTTAATTAGACCTGCTTTCTGATTTTGCTAAACTTTTTCCAGACCAGTGGAAAACCCCAACTTCTCTCTTTCAGGTAATTGTGAGCAACACAGCAATAGATATCAACATGAAGCAATTATTATAGATCATGCAGGCAGAATAAAGAATAAAATATTTGACTGTAGCAGTGTTTAACTATATTCTGCGCAGTGAGAAAACCTGAAGTTATTTTCAAGGTCTACCATTTCTTACTTTTTTTCAGTTGGATCAAGTTTTTAAGCTTTCAAAATTTCTGTTTTCCAGCTAATGAAAAGAAAATAGAATTCCACCGAGTCTCCTATCAACCTACTCTAGGTTGGGATCAAATGAGATGAGGCATGGGAAAATACTTCACAGACATTGGTTGAAGTGTGAAATGTTTGCACCTGGCTATATAGCAAGTTGTGTTCCTGAGCTGAAGAAACCGCATGGAGGCTAGTCGTTGCTAGGGAGAGGAAATGGGGCATTGCTATGGGACATCATTACCTGTGCCCACAGCAACCGTTTTCAGACTGGGCTGGGCTGTGGGACACATTTTAAGCCATGGGGTCTTGGCAGCATCAGCTGGGATTTGGTGGGCTGTCACTCTGTGGTGATGGCAGGACCTGTGTCCCACGTGGGGGAAGCCGAGTGTTGCTTTGTGGGCGCCAGGTCTGCGGTGCTGTTTCTCTGTAAATGGCCAGTACCCATCACAGCAGGTCCTGCACTGAGTGTCAGTGCACGTCAGAGCGACTGGTCAGATGGTTGTTAGTGCACGTCATAGTGACTGGTTAGATGGGCACCTAGCATATTAGCCTTTTAAATATATAGATGGGTTAATGCAGTGTATTGAAACCCAATCCACACAATAGCAAATTATGTTGAATGAAGATTTACCAAGTTGTATGACAATTTTCTAGAATTTTAAGACAACCAAGGGATCAATGAAGCAAGCAAACAGCAACAACAACAACAAAAAAAACTAAGTGATTATGCTGTGATTCCTTTATTTTTAATTAAACCAGTTTTCAATTATTCTGTATATTTAAATATGGCAAAATGAAAAAAATATTCTGACAGAAATCAGGGTGAATAAAGGAATATTCACAGGTTCTAGAACTTCTTTTTCTCTCTTTTAAAATTACATATTTAGATATCATCTATAGGTATTAGATTTATATTCATCACTAACTATACCTATGTGGATTGATAAATAACATTTATCACTTGTTTCTGTTGTTAAAAGAGATCTGGGGCAGAATAATTTCTATTTAACTCATAACATCTAAATATATAAAGATAAAAGATATCTCAATGAACCATATAATCCTTTGAGTTGAAGTGGAAATATGAAGCAAATCCATAAATAATTCATCAAATAATTGAGGACTTTTAAAATTAAAAAGCCCTGAAATTTTTTTCTTCTGAAAACTTGTATAAAATGTTTTTTAGTAGAAAAATATACATTCTGTCCCATCCTGTTCTATTGGACCATACCAATTCATATGTAAATATGCTTTAGTATTATCTATTATAAAGAAATATTTTTCCTTGATCTCTCTTGCCTCTTTAACAACCATAACAGTAGTTTCCAGCATGGGCATCAATTGTAGCTGCTCTGCTTTCTGCATGATTATAGACAGGTTTGTTAAACTATCAATATATAGTGTGTGTTGTTTTTTTTATCTGTAAAATGAGAAAAATAATAGTAGCTATCTGCTGTGCCTATTGTGGGACTCTAAAGCTAATACATATAAAACATTTTACAATAATACCTGGCCTTTAAATGTTTAATACATGTTTAGCTGATCTCATTATTATGCATTCACACAAGCAATTTAGAAAAATCTTCAAGGAGATTAAAAAAAAAATCCTCATCCATGGACATTTTTTTCCATTGGTTTCTATAGAGAGTGAAAGGGAGGGAGTGGGGGGAGAAAAATATTGACATGAGACACATCCACTGGCTGCCATCACATACCCACCTTCTGGGGCTAGGGAACCTGCAATGGAGGCAAATGCCCTTGACTAGGAATGGAACCCAGGACCCTTTGGTCTGCAGGCTGTTTTAATCGCTGAGCCAATCAGCCTGGGCCAATCAGCAAGGATATGTTTTAATTGATTTTTTATAAAGAAAGATATGAAGAGAGAAATATATAGAAACATGGATGTGAGAGAGAACAATTGGTTGGCTGCCTTCTGTAGGTGTCCTGATCAGGGATCAAATCCACAACCTCATATGTGCCCTGACCAGGAATCGAACCCATAGACTTTTGATGTTTGGGACAACACTGCAACCAACTGAGCCATGCAATCAGTGAAAAAGCAAATTTTGAGAAAGCCTGCTATCCTCCCTATCTTTATTGCTTTCTAATGTTGCTTTTCTCATTGCTACTCCATGCAATTCTTGGCAAATCATTCATTTTGTTAACTCAAATGGATATTTGTCTTTTAATCTTCCCCTTCACCTTTTTCCATGTTGGCACAGATTAAGTCCTTAATTAGTAGGCTGGCTGATTAATTGAATACATGATTTAATTACTCAAAATATCCAGGATAGGAAAAAAAATCAATACAAACACACTTGCTGCTATCGGCTCATTGTTTTTATGTCCCCATACCACCCAGCCCAACCAATTCACATGCTGAAATCCTAGTGCCCAATGTGATAGTATTAGGAGCTTGAGCTTCTGGAAGGTGCTTCAATCATGAGATGGAGCCCTAATGATTAGAATTAGTGGTCTTAGAGAAGATACCCTACGTTCCCTAGGCTCTTCAGTCATGAAAGCATGAAAGAAGAAGTCTGTGACCCAGAGGAAGACCCTTTTCTGACCATGCTGGTACCCTAATCTTGGACTAACAGCCTGCAGTCTGTGAAAAACACATTTCTGGTGTTTATAAGCTACTCATTCAGTTTGTGTTATTTTGTTATAGCAGCCTAACTGAACTAAGATAGAAAATTGGCCCAAGAAGTTGGTGCTGCAATAATAAAGATATAAAAAGATAGTAGCTTTGAACTTGCTAAGAAGTAAAGGTTAAAGAGTTTTGAGGTGTATGCCAGGAAAACCTTACATCACTGTGAATGGAACAGTAAAAGCAAATCTGGTGAGGGCTTCAGAGAAGAGGAGAGGTGTAGAGAGCATCTCAGTCTTTTTAGAAAACACCTGCATGGCAGTGAATAGAATGTCAGTAGAAACATGAACAGTATAGACCCGTGGTCAGCAAACTGTGGCTCGCAAGCCACATGCGGCTCTTTGGCCCCTGGAGTGTGGCTCTTCCACAAAATATCATGGCCTGAGTGAGTCTATTTTGAAGTAGCATTAGAAGAAATTTAAGTTGAAAAAAATTGGCTCTCAAAAGAAATTTCAATCATTGTACTGTAGATATTTGGCTCTGTTGACTAATGAGTTTGCTGACCACTGGTATAGGCCATTCTGATGAAGTCTCATTTGGAAATGAGGAATATGTTATAGGGCAATGGAGAAGGCCATCTTTGTTATAGAAGGGCAGAGAAGATGGCTGAATTGTGTTTGTGTCTTAGTGTTTCATGGGATGTAGAACTTGTGAAAAGGAAATTAAATATATGGCTGAAACAAATTTTTCTTTGTAATTGTATTTATTTGTATGTATTTAATAAAAATTCAATATACTTAAAATGTACAATATGATAATTACATATATGTAGTGCAATGATTACCATATTACATAGCTGAAGCCTTTCGAGGCATGGCTTGGCTTCTCTTGATTGTATACAGTTAAAGAAATGACTTAGAGACTGAACTGTTAATTAAAAGAGAAACAGAACCTAAACAATTTGGAAAAACTCAGCCTGTTTATATTGCAAAAAATATGAAATCATGGTTGGAAGAGAACACTAATGGTGTGACTAAGGGACCTTTTGACAAGGAGATCCATGTGGGTGTAAACTAAGGACTTAATCGTCCACTCCAGCAAGAAAACAGCCAGGTTGAACTGAAGGGGAAAGATACAAAAACAAACAAATAAAAAAAAGGATGTCTTAGCTTTAACAGGATGGAACCATAGAGCTATTGGTTGTGGACATGTGATATTCTTCTTCCAGACAAGGTAAGAAGGACACCAAAGAGGATTCAGAGATTATTAGAACTGCTTCTTTGGTTTCAAAATGGAGACTGTTACCTGGGTATCAGCAGGCAGACAACCCTGGCCCAGAGCCTTGGGGATAGTGCTGCCCAGGGCTTTACTGGGGATAACTACCTAGCAAAGCTGGTGCCATGGTAACCTCCACCTGGATATTGAAGAAGAGAGCCTCACAGAGCCATAGGTCTACAACACCAGACTGCTGGAACCATCTGCCTATGATTTAATCTTTTCTTTTTTTAATGTATTGTTTAAGGTATTATAAATAGCAGTACATATGTTTCCTTTTCCCCCCCTCCCCCATTGACCTTTTCTCTGCATCATCACCAGCACTTGTCATTTGTTGAATTATTGATGATAGCTATTCTGACAGGTGTGAGATAGTACCTCGTTGTTGTTTTGATTTGCATCTCTCAGATGATTAGTTACTGAGCATGCTTTCATATGTCTCTTGGCTTTCTGAATGTCCTCTTTTGAAAAGTGTCTATTTAGGTCTTTTGCCCATTTTTTGATTGGGTTGTTTATCTTCCTTTTGTTACGTTGTATGAGTTCCTTATAAATTTTGAGATTAAACATTGGCAAATATGTTCTCCCATGTGGAGGGCTTTCTTATTGTTTTGTTGGTGATTTCTTTTGCTGTGCAAAAGATTTTTATTCTGATGTAGTTCCATTTGTTTATTTTTTCCTTAGTTTCCATTGCCCTAGGAGCTATGTCAGTAAAGAAATTACTATGACAAAAGTCTGATATTTTGCTACCTATCGCTTCTTCTAAGATTTTAAGGGTTTCCTGTCTTACGTTTACATCCTTTGTTCATTTTGAGTTTATTTTTGTGTATGGTGTAAGTTGGTGGTCTTGTTTCATTTTTTTGCAAGTTATCTGTATAGTTTTCCCAACACTATTGAAGAGACTGTCTTGTCTCCATTGTATGCTCTTGCCTCCTTTATCAAATATTAATTGAGCATACTGGCTTGTGTTGATTTCTGGGTTCTTTCTGTGATTTCATCTTGGAAGAGCTACAGGCAAGCAACTCCAACCCTTGAAAGCTGCTGCAAGGGCTGTGCTCAGCAAAGCCACAGACACAGGGCTGACCAGGGGCTCTGAAGGTTTTACATTTGCTCAGAATTTTTTACTCTTTTTCTTTTTCTTTTTATATTTCTTCCTTTAGAATGGGAATGCCTATCCTATGCTTGTCTTGCCATTATATTTTGGAAGCACATAAACATGTTTAATTTTTACAGGTTCATAGCTGAAGAGCAAGTGCCTCGGATGAAATGTCTCACCCATATATGATTTAGATTATGTGTATATTTTATTTTTTAATTTTTAAAAATTATTCTTTACAGCACATGTGTCAAACACAAGGCCCACGGGCCAAATCCGTCCCACCAGGCCTTGCAATGTGGCCCGCACCGCGCTGTCATCACTGCACTCTGCTGCGTTTCCATCACAATGACAGTTTATGACTGTTCAGTAAACCATTCAGCCTGCGATTTAGGCTGGATTTTATATTTTGGCCCCTTCTCTGATTGAGTTCGACACCCCTACTTTACAGAGAGGAAGGGAGAGGGAGAGAGAGTTAGAAACATTGATGAGAGAGAAACATTGATCAGCTACCTCCTGCACATCCCCTACTAGGGATGTGCCCACAACCAAGGTACATGCCCTTGAAGGGAATCAAACCTGGGACTCTTCAGTCCGCAGGCCAATGCTCTATCCACTGAGTCAAACCAGTTAGGGCTAGATTATGTGTATATTTTAATATGTTTTTATTAATTTTTAGATAGAGAGGAACATAGACACACACACACACACACACACACACACACACACACACAAATGAGAGAGAGAAACAGTGACCTTGATTGGCTGCCTCCTATACACACCCCTACCTGGGATCAATGCTGCAACCCGCAACCTGGGCATGTCTTCTGACTGGGAATTGAACCATTGACCTCTGGTTGCATGGGACTTGAACTTTACACTTCATCTGAGTTCTATGAAAATCCTGTGCATTCTACACCTTTTCAAATACGTTGGTCTAAAAAAAAATCTTTCTCCATGACTACTTGTGCATATTCTAGGATAGGCATTTGCAATTCCTGTGCATGAGAGACAATATGATCAGTTTAAAAGATCTTCCTGTCACATGGTAGAAACAGACCTGGAGTGACTTCAAGGGCATAATGAGAATCACATACAAACAAACAAACAAGACTTTTCACTTCTGCCTTACTGATGCCAGAAATCCCACCCTCTGAGCTTTATTCTTTGGATGAAGGCATTTAGCTTGTTGAAGTGTAAATATCCCCAGGAGAGGAAGTATATAAATGATCAAACATTTAATAACATGCTATAATTACTTTGATCAGATTCTTTCCGGAAAACATGAATTGATGAAAAACAGCTAGTGAGAGTGCAGGGACATTGGGCTCTGGAGATACCAACTAGTGGGCAGAAAGGGCGAAGGAAGACAGAGGATGCCCAGGACTATCAACTGGGATGGTGCCCTTGCCAAGGGGGTTTTCCATTGCCTGCAATCTAGCTTTCCCAGCCTGATGGGACAAGGATAACATCTGTGCTGGGACTGTCAGTGTCCCACAGGTGCAGAAGATCTAGTTTATTAGAAGTGGGGAGAAAAAGTGAATTTGTAAATACAGAGAAAAACAACTGGCACTTTGAGCCACCAGAGATTAGAAGCAGTAATAAAACCAGCAAAGGCGAACATGGGCAGGGATGGAAGCAAATAGCTTCAGTCAGTGTCAGAGGTAAACAATCACATACTTATTTTTTTCCAGGAAAATTATGAATTAAACCCCAATTTTATGAAAACATAGACTTTCATTTAAAAATAAATTTCACAGTGATTAGTTCATCAAAGCCACACATGGCTTATTACCAGAAACACTATCACTTCTATTTGTCATTGCTTTTTGATAACTTTGGTTTCAACTTTAAATTTGTTATATGGGGTATGCAGGTGCTAATTCTTATATGCTACATATTGATTCTGTAGGTGGGCGAATGAAAGACAGGCACTTTACAGTTTGTTTTCTTATGATCCAAAGGGAGCTCTAATGATGTTTTCTTTCAGCTCTAATTGTCTAGGAGGCATAGTGTAAGCATCCTGTAAAAACAACCATGATTTTCTCATCTTCATGTTCCACCTACATTGTTTCCCCTCTTCATTCAGCATTCTAGTTTTCCCCTTAATTTGAGACATCTAAACTAATGAAAGAGAAACATGCAAATTGACCATACCTCCACTATGCCCACTAGCCAATCAGGAGTGAGTGTGCAAATTAACCCAACAAAGACTGTGGGTTAATTTGCATATGCAGGTGCAGAATGGCTGGGGGGGCTTGGGACACCTGCTATGAGAGGGAGGATGAAGGGGCAGATGGAGCTACACGAGTGGCACTCTAGCTGGAGTGGAGAACGCTGAAGGGTCCAACCAGAGCGAAGACTGAAAGCAGAGGCCAGAACAAAGGCCTGTACCACACTTTGTTGAGTTAATTTGCATACTTACTCTTGATTGGCTGGTGGGCATAGTGGAGGTATGGTCAATTTTGCATGTTTCTCTTTTATTAGTTTAGATGTCTCAAATTAAGGGGAAAAACTGGTATAGTGTGCCATTAAAGGCAGTACCATTTTGATCACTAAATCCCATTGAAGTGATATATATGAGTTTATTTAGTACAGTAATATAAATAACACTTTCTATGTATAATGTGACATTTAATTATAATTATGT